AGTGCGTCTGTCTGTCTCCCTCTCCCCCCCCCACCCCCGCACACACTTTGGCCGGTGGCTGCAAAGGAGGAAAACACAAAACCCCACAGTGAATTGGACACTCTCACCCCGCTCCTGTCTGTCTCATTAGTTTCTGGTGTCCGTTCATTCGTGTAAACAAAGCAGGCGCCGAGAAAAATCGAATTTTGGGCTCTGGGACTCCAGTTATTCCGCGCCCTTCCCTGTTCCAACCCCCACACACTTAAGCGTGATGCGTCCCAAACTCAACCGTTATTAATTATTGGTGTCTGCTTATTGGTTATTGATTATTAATCGGTAGTATAGGTTGGTAGGTAGGTAGGCGGTTAGGTGTCCCTATTGCCTTATTAAGGGCGGGGATTTCTCATTAAGATCCCCTAGAGATCTTAGCAAATCTCAGCCTGATATTCCCAAGGACAAGGGGCCCCGTTTCTGGAGGGGTTTTGGCCGCTGCTTTTTCCCGCATGACCACGCCGGCAGGAGGGTCTGTGACTCTTTAAATGGGCTCCGAGCGCTTTCATTGCAGTTACTGGAGGTGGGTATCGTCGGTTGGGCGGAGGACGGTGTGACGGCGCGTTGGGGGTCTTCCAGCCCTGCCCCCCAGCCGGTGGAATAGAGGAAGTTTATTGCCTCTCCAGGATACAGCAGAGCACAGATGGAATCTGGTCACAGAGCTGGGCTAGGATGCCTCAGGCCCCCTTGAGATGGGGGAGACTGGGCCCCTAAACTCCAGCCCCTTTCCCTAGGCTGTCTCCTCCATGCTCCCAGCCCGCAACTAACTCACACTCTTCCAGCCCTGCCCCCCAGCCAGGGCAGCATTCCACCTTCCTTTGTTCCTCTCCATGGGGGGTAGGCTGGTTCAACTGGTATGATACCTTTGCATAATAAGGTTTTCCCTGCTGGGTCTTGCTCCAGACAGCAGAGGTCACCACCGCCCAGCAAGTACCCCCACTACATCACAGGGAGTTAAAACTTTTCTTGCATTATATCTCGGGGGTTCAGGAGGTAAAGTGATGACCAGCTCCGCCCAGACGAGCCACTGTCGTGTGAATGGCCGAGAACATACAGAAGCGCACACAGAGACGTGTATAGAATCTAACATTGTATATAGCTCTAGCCAGGCACAGATTAAAAAAGGCGCTTCAGTGGCTGCAGCCCAGAGCCCTGGGCTGGGGGAGGGGCGGAAAGATCTCTGGACCACCAAAAGTGCACCTGGGCCCTGGGCTGCAGCCACTAACCTCCCAGCTGTTAAGGGCTAAAGCCGCATTACCTGATCGCTAGAGGAAGTTCTGTCCCGTCTCTACCCTCAACTCCAGACGCCACCCTCACAGCTCCCATTGGCTGGGACTCGCACTGTGGGAGAGCCACTGAGCTGTAAACGGAGAGAGCAGAGCTCCTTACCTCGTTCTGGGACAGGCTACCCGTGTGAGCAAATCGCTCAGTGCCTCAGTTTCCCTTCGAGCAGCTTGGTGTTGTGAGGGTAAAACTTATTCAGGGTTGTGAGGTGTTCCGAGACTGTGCCCATGTGAATATAAATTTATAATAATTATTATAATAATAAAAAGAAGCCCGAAAGTGCTCAATAAAGCGATGAAGCTGAGGGGCGATAGACACACAGACGGGGGTGGGCTCAGTGCGATATTTTGCAGCATCTCTCAGAGAACAACGTGCCACGCCCGGTCAATGCCGGTGAATGTTGTTTAAGTACAAAGGCCCGATTGGTTCCAGGCAGTTCGGCTGGATTCTCTGGGTCGCTGCGGATGGAACGCCCGGGCCCAGCCCTTGGGATGTTTCATTCTGAACTCGGTCCGGACCTCCGGCCCCGGAATGCAAGCGAGGCTCCGAGGAATTACGGTCCCTCCGCGTGAATGGCGGTATGGTTCAAAGAGGCGTGGCCTGAACCGAAAATGACGAAAATGACGTATTCGGAGCGGGCTGTGCTCGGGGAGGGGGAGGGGCTCCTTAACGCGTGTCATTCTATGGATGTAAATTCCTGAGTCTAGTTTCATGTTCTGTGAAATGAAAGGACTTTGCTAATTTCTCATCGATCAGGTAATTGTGGTCCATTCCAATTAACACCCCTTTGCATTTCCGGGTCTGCTCCCCTTCCTGTTCACACCGATCTTTGGGGGGATTCACACCCACCTCGCCTCCCTCGGCCCATCCCCGAGCACCGGACGCTCAGACACGCTGCCTCTTGCTGCTGGTGGCAATGTGGCCCTGGGCTGGGTATCAGCCCCTCTCATAACGCTCCGCGCTGAAATGCCGCAGGCAGCAGGTGAACAGAGGCTGGGGGGGGGCCTCAGGAA